ATAATAATTTCTTTAAAAAAAAAAAGTGTAGATTAGGAAGTGCCTAGGATCCATCCCTCCACAGAAATGATGAAGCTGGCAAAAACTGTAAGAATCAACTTTTTCAGAACTCTAGAATCTAATCAGAAATGTACTACAATCAGGACAGTGCTTAATGAAAAAGGGGCTGTACATTTTGTCACTTAAAGAAATCTTACCAGGTCACTCACCAACAACTGAAATAATGGAATGGAAACTTTAGGGACCACCTATGACAAGGAGTACAGTCTTTGCAAAAATAGTTTAGAAGTCATTAAATAAGTGAATGATTGCAGCCACTGAAAGCAACAACAGCAAACCTTGGGGAGGAGGAATATTCTGATTTCCAGAGCCACCATATTAAAAATTCAAAATGGTTACTTTTTAACAAAAAATTATTAGGCATGTAAAGAAACATGTATGGCTCATTCACAGAAAGAAAAGAAAACAAAAACAGAGTCCCTGAGGAAGCCAAACATTACACTAATTAGAAAATTCAGCTGTCAGAAATATGCCAAAGAGCTAACAGAAACCATAGGCAAATCTAAAGAAAACAAGTAGAAAAGTGTATCAATAAATATCAAATATCAATTAAATAGACAGAAATCACAAAAATAGAATCTATACATATAAAAGCTAATATGCAGCGTCCCCTCGGGAGTTCAACCGGGAGAATGGGAGTTTGATCGATCACTATGACATGCGCTGACCATCAGGGGGGACACGACCAGTGACAGCAGGATGCTGAGGGAGTGAGCGAAGGGGGAGGTGGGGGGAACCACAGGGTGGTGGGTGGCACGTGGGTGGCGAGGGAAGGAGGAAGCGGGGAGGTGGGGAACCTGATCAGCCCTATCCCCGGCCATAACTAGAGACCCTACCCGTGTACCATGCACGGGGCCTCTAGTCAAATGTAATTTCTAAAGCTGAAAAGTACAATAACTAAAATGAAAACTTCACTGAATTTTAGAGGGGTTAACATAAAACTTCAATAGGTAAAAGAATAAATGACCATGAAGATAGGTAAAATTATCTAGTCTGAGTAGAAAGAGAAAACAACTAGCCTGACCGGCTTTGCTCAGTGGTTGAGCGTCAACCTACGAACCAGGAGGTCACAGTTTGATTCTTGGTCAGGGCGTATGCCTGGGTTGAGGGCTCAATCCCCAGTGTGGGGTGTGTAGGAGATAGCCGATAAATGATTCTCTTTCATCACTGATGTTTCTATCTCTCCCTCTCCCTTCCTCTCTGAAATCAATAAAAATATTTAAAAAGAATAAAAATATTTTTAAAAAAAAGGAAAGAGAAAATAAAGACAAATGAAAACAGCCTAAGAGACTTGTAGACAGCATCAAGGGTACCAATGCATACAAAATGAGAGGTCCAGAAGAAAAGGAGGGAGAAAACGGGGCATAAAGAATAATTGAAGAAACAATGGCCTGTCTACATATCTTAACAAATTCAATGAACCCCAAAGAGAATAAACTCAAGAGTCACACTGAGATTAAGTATAATCAAATTCCTAAAACCCAAGAAAACAAGAGAATCTTAAAAGCAACAAAAGTAACTCATTGTGAGAAACCATAGAAGCTAGAAGGTAGTGAAATTACATATTTACATTTGATCTTAACCAAAAAGTGGAGAAGCAATGAAATAGCATACTTAAAGTGCTAGAGGGAAAAAGCTGTCAACCAACAAATCTGTGACAAAACTATCTTTCCAAAATAAAGATATCAACTTACAGCATGACAGTGTGAGAAGCTCAAGTAACCTGCTCCCTACTGAAACTGATAAAAATTATTTTTAACAACAACCTTTTATAAAGCCTTTGGAAACAGTTCTAAGGACAAGCAGCAAATGAAGAGACACCTATTCAAGAACAGCTTCAAAAATTCGTAAGAAAGGTGTGTCAGTAGTATTTGAACCAAGTCTACTCCCTCCCTCCAGCTCCCATCTCAGCTCAAGGAAGGGGAGATTCCACTCAAAGATTCCTGCAGCCAAGAACACAGGGCACCCTCTCCCTCTCAGATCCTATTCAGAAAGCTTTCTTCCAAGGAGGAACGGAGCATTAGAGTTTCCCATCCAGCGCCCAGCTGCTTCTTGCTAGGGCTGAGTCCTTGACAACTGTGGTTGAGAGGCAGAGGTTCTCTTCTGCCACCTAGCACCACTGATTGAATGTAGACTTTAACTGGGTGTGGTGCATGGAAAAGACTGGGCTCCTGGGTTGTGAGGAAAGGCAAACTGAAAAGATTGTTGGCTATGCCTTCCCTTCCACCAAACACTCAGCTAAGAGAGCAGAACTGTCACTCAGAGAGAAACTTGCCATTGTTCCTATCCCTACCGCCAGAGACCAGGCTGAGAGCTTTTGTACCAGGAAGAAAGCAGATACTAAAATCAAGAGCTCCTAATCTCTCCCCAAAGGAACTCACTTCATTTGCAAGAGCATGGTGAAAGAACCCTGAAAAAGAGAATGAGGTTTCAGTGAAAAGGCAATTAGGAAAAGATTCAAAATACACCGTAAACTGTAGGACAATTAGTTTGCAGAGAACTAGGGAATAAGGCAACTGGGAGTTCTGGGGTCAAAACATCAATCACTAATTTCAAAAACTTTATCCACAAAGGACCTGCAGTTTGACTGGATTAGTTTTCAGTACCCCAGGGTATTGTGGAAAACAATTAAACAATCATTCCGGTTAGTGGAGTTTGGCTGCTGGGTGTGATCAGAGAAAGACAGCCCTAACAAAACCACTGCCACCCCAGGGTGATTGTGGGCATATTCAAATTGCACCTCCCTATGGAGCAACATCAGGGTACTAACCTGGTAGCAAAGGAGATCACAATGAAATAGCACTTTACACCACTAGGATGGCTAGAATTGGATAGTCAGATAATGACAAATGTTGGTGAGAATGTAGGCAATCTGAGCCCTCACATATTGCCGGTGTGTGTGCCGGTTTCAGGCTTGATCACCAATGTGGGGCATGCAAGAGGCAGCCAACAGATGATTCTCTCTCATCAATGATGTTTCTCTCTCTACTATTGTTATAAAAATAATAATAAATAATTTATTGGTACTTCTATCCCCATAGGATAGATTCTTTTTTTTCCTTTTCTTTTTAAATTTTTATTTATTGATTTGAGAAAGGGGGAGGGGGGAGGGAGATACACATCCATTTGCTGTTCCACTTATTTATGCATTCATTGATTGCTTTTTGTGTGTGCCCTGACTGGAGATCAAACCCAAAACCATGGCGTATCTTGGCATATCAGAACAACATTCTAATCCACTGAGTGCTCGGCCAGGGCCTAGTAGAACAGATTATTAAAAGTCAGACTATTAGGTTCCGGTTTTTTATTTCCCTAAATATTGCATTAGAATGCAGTGATGGCAAACCTCTGACACCTGTGTCAGAGGTGACACGCGAACTCATTTTTTTGGTTGATTTTTCTTTGTTAAATGGCATTTAAATATATAAAATAAATATCAAAAACATAAGTCTTTGTTTTACTATGGTTGCAAATATCAAAAAATTTCTATATGTGACACGACACCAGAGTTAAGTTAGGGTTTTTCAAAATGCTGACACACCGAGCTCAAAAGGTTCGCCATCACTGCGTTAGAGGCACCTCTCAGGGACACCAGAGAGGTGTTACTGGACAGCCCCCTGAGTCAGTGGGAAAGGGCTGTCCCCAACCTCAATCCTTGTCTTCTCATATAAATGAATATATATGAGAGACCTTGATTGTGTTGTGTAAAGCCAATTTATTGAAGTATACATCTTTATTAAAGAAGTAAAGCAAGCAAACCCATTCATCTGGCTTATGAAGTGCAGACGGGCTCTTTAACATTGCCAGATTACTTTTTCAAAAGGTTGTAGGCAAGTCATACTCTCTCCAGCAACAAAAGTGAGATAGGGGCACTTCTTAACCAGAATTATTTTAATCACATAACATTTAACATCAGATTAGATGTAATCTTTCACTGTCTTCTCCATACAGTAAACATGTTATGTGTAACATAAGTTTATTTTCACCAAGAAATCTGAACACAGGAAACTGAGTAATCAACAATCCACAAAATAATATAGCAATCCCCCCCCGCAAAGATTACCTTTATACACACACACACACACACACACACACACACACCTACCTCTGAGATGCTTCCAGAACAAATGATAAGTATTAATATGCTTAAAAGTCCCCATCTGGAGTATCTATAAAGGGCATAGGGAAAAAAAATGTAATCTAGCACATAATGAATGTTACAAACTGATTAGTTTATCAAAACTATGATTGCACACAATAAAGAACACGAAATAAGACGGGTAAGCCCAACAGGTTAGGTTACTCCTGAAAGCGCTCTGGGGAGATAGAATCTTTCATTTGGGGGCGGCATGGTATCAACAAAAACCATCTAAACAAGGCAAGACGAGAGGAAAACATCCCCAAATCCCTCCTAAGAGCTGGTGTCCGCAACCACCTAGCCTCGTTAGTGGTGGTAAGGTGATTAAGGAGAGAGAAATTATTGTCTGATATTCTGAAGAGAGACTAGCAAGAAAAATGAAAT